CCTGGAGCCCTGGGATTGAACTCACAACCTTGTGGCTGTGAATGACTGCAGTACAGGCATTTAACCACTGCACCATCAGGGCTCCCAATAAACAAAAAGCAAACAGCATGGTTTCCTAAGCAGACAGAAAGTGAAAATGTATATACTACTCTAAACCATGATTTGTTCGCACAGTTTGAAGCTCCAACCATGGTTTAGGTTCTAAACGCTTTTCTGCAGCTTTTAAATTAAATAATTGATTTTAAATTGCATTTGTGGTAGTGCTATTAAGCAGATTTATTTAGCTTTCACCGGTGAAAAATTATAATACAAAAAGATACCACACAGATGAGATCATGTGGCTAACGTATGCATTTATAAGAGCTATACATGTGTGCTGGGACTGGAGTCAGTAGGCTTGATTTCATCTCTCCTAGCCCCCCAACAGCTGATTCTTTTGGCTTACAGTTAAGAGTTAACAAGTTTAGGGTTAATGTATAGTCAGGTATAAGCAACACATTTTGACCTGAATTGTTAGTCATATCTAAAGTAGACTGACTGAATCAATGGGAACCAAGTCCAAAGTTGTGTAAGTTGCATTTATTCAGTGGGTCTGTTCTATATGAGACAAACAATTGGATTTATATAATTTTAAATAAGAAGAACAAAAAATTTATGAGAGGAAAGCAAGACTGCTTGACTAATATCTAAGCAAACAAATTTTCCTGAAAAACGGATTATTGATTTCCCATAGTGCTTTTGTGACACTGAACAAATGCAGAAACAAATGTCTCAGATGAGGTACAGTACTTTAGCTGATTTGACAAGTGCAAGAGCAGACTGGTAGTCTCAGATTCTGGAAAACACTTTGTCTTTTAATGTGTTTATAATTAATGAAGACAATATTATTATTCCTAATCCAATTTAGCAATTAGGAAAAGTAAAGAATTAACAGGATCTACCAGTTACATGAGAGTGTGGCGTAGTGGTTTGAGAGTTGGACTGTGACTCTGGAGACCAGGCTTCGATTCCCAGCTCAGCCAT